ATGCGCGTCCTCAAAATAAATGGCCTCGAAGGTCGGTTTGCGCATGCCTGCAACAAAGCGGACAAAGTGACATGAGCAAAAGAGCACTTAATGTTTTCTCCAAAAATGGACAAATAGGCTCGTAATCGGAGTGCAGACGTCCGACTACATTCAAATTGTTCCAGGCTGAAGACTCAATTTTTCCACCTACAATAGTCGTCTCATGATAATGACACGGGTTTGACTGACAGAGGAAAAAAAACAAACCTTTGAGTGTGGGCATGGTTATTCTCAAGAGATCACTGCGAGTTCCCACGTAATCCAATTGTACCAAAGTGTTTGGCTGGTTGTGCGCACACACGGAGACAGCAATGCTTTGTCCAGGCTTAACATTGGTGAAGTCATAGAAATTGATGGAAGTGAGGTTTATGTATTCTTGCAACACAGCATCCACAATCCATTCGATGGTGTAGCCAGTGATGACGCCGTAGGATTGTTTTGGTGGATCCCATGCCATGCGCAAGGTGTAAGGATCAATTGCCTGAAGTTGCACATTCCGTGGAACACTACCGTCTGCACAAATATAGGAGAGGTGAGTGTAGACATCAAAGGGTGTGAGTAGTGCAGCCAGCTTTCGTATAGCATTACGCAACTGCTGGTAAGTGAAGTGGATAACATGTGCGTGAGTGGCGCTGATCACATATGAGTAGGCAAGTGGTAAAGTGAAGGGGAACAGACCTGCCTCCATGGTTTCAAATATGAGAGGATCAGCCATCATGCTGAAACTGTCGGGCAGCACGAATCCACGCACCGTGACTGCGTATTTTGATGACGGTTCAATTCCCTCCATTTCGTATTCTCTCACTTCGTCGGTGAGGTTGACCACAGATTGCCACGAGTTGTGTGCATTGAGACCGCCTATGTTTTTTCTGAAGACTTCGAAACCATCAAAACCTCCTTTATTGGGTCCTGGATCGTGAATGCGTATGTCCAGAATTTCAATATCCTCGTTGTAGGTTGCCTCAAATGTCGGCTTTCGCTTGTCTTTAACAACAGACAAGATGTTTTAAAGAATAAAGTAAGGGGGAAGAGTAACAATCGACAATTAACAATTTCGTTCCGGTGGTTTAGTTCGAACACCACCGCAAGCCCCAAATTGCAGCAATCATATGTTCAGACACAAAAGCGAAGTCGCCACACACACACACACA